AAGAGCGCGGGTTCTGGCTAGCAAACTACTCCGTTCTGTTTTATTAGCTGATAGTTTAATCATGTTAGATGTAAAACTATTGAAACCTCTACCTTGCATGTAAATAACAACAGCTTTACGGGCCCGTTAATTATCGGGACTTTCGAGAAACGGGCCCCAGGACCCGCGCTCTTATCATTTATATTTCGATTTGAATATTTGATTTCGGGTTCGCAAAGTTACCGGGACGTTGGAGAAACGAGCATCCGGGCCCAGTTGCTCGAAGAACGATTAGCGCTTAACCAGAGGTTAAATTTAACCCCGGGTTCCTTTTTCTTGTGTTTAAAAGCATTTTCTCGGATAATTTTCTCTGTTAATTTAAGGCTTTCAATAATCAACTTGTAGACAAAAATAATTAAAACTGAAATGATTTTTAAGCTTTCATATCTGAATTCAAATCTCTCACTAACCGTTGAACAACTCGGCCCTGAGGGAAAATGTATTTCTTTTAATTCTCTCATCTAAATCTTCATGGAAATGTATGAAAATCAGCCTGGAGAATTTGTATGTGGATACTGGGACTTACAGAGTTAACGAGTAAAAAATAACCCGAAAGTATTTTGGAGACTAAATTTCCTGTTTCTTTTGGTCGGCTCAAAGAGACACTCTTGTCATCCGCGCGCGTCATGGGGTACTGTAAATGATCAATTAAGCGTCGCGGCGTTTATTTCATTTTTCCTGTTATAGGTACGACGCGTATTTGCTTATCTCAACTACGGGTAAAACACTAAGGGAATATAGAAGTGAATTAAGTGAGGAGCGTATTAGGCATGCACAACTATGTGTAAAATATGCACACCGACTCACGAGTTGGTAGAGGTCTTATTTCTCAAGTGATATGGTTTTGATATCTCTTTGTATCAAGCGCCGTAACAAAGGTGGGGCGTTAATTTGTAAATACCCAAATATATGGGCGCCACGGCGCTTATTCATTCATGATTATAACACAAGAAATAGAAACATTCTTAGACTATCCCTTTGCAACCAAAAATTGGGTAAGCAGGGAGTGTGTTATCACTCTCTGAAAGATTGGAATAATCTAGACAAAGACGTTAGAAATGCACCTGACATTGTGAATTTTAAGCGTAGCATTTTTAGCAGGTTTTTTATTTAATGGTTTTTGTATTTCAATTGTAGCTTTTGATCAGTTTTTAAGTTAGTTTATATATATATATATTTTTATTTCTAGGTATCTTTCATTTTACCGTATATAGTCTAATTTAGTACTTTTAATCTAAGTGAGGACCTTTCTGAAAACCAGTGATGTGATGAAAGTTTCCTAATAAAAGATTGTTATTATTGTTATTCGAAAGCGGCGCTTATTAAATTTTTTTCAGTAAAGGTGCGACGCTTATTCGAGTAGCGGGGCCTAATCGATCATTTACGGTAAGCCAAGAGAGAAAGAGCTGGAACAGTTTCTCTTCAAGCTAAAAATTTTGAGCTGATTCTTCTTGCGAAGGACAAAGTTGCGATCCAAGATTATAGTTATAGTCAGTTCGCGGCGCAAAACACGCATTCCGAGTTAAGTGGGTAAAATATGTGACAAGGTTTTTCGAATAGTCGAAGGCCAATAAATCCGACAAGTAGTTAGTTCAACTAAAAGATGTGCAATTAAACGGTGAAAAACCAAAATTTGGTCAACATATCTTTTATCAAGAGATCATGACTCTTGATTTTGTCTATAAAAAGGTTATAGCCTGTTAAATATTTTAATTAATAGCACGTAGCGTGATATTTTGTGCTGCTTGGGACAGCACAGTGTTGCATTATATCTATGTTTTTTTCAGTTTAGTTTCCTCTAAAATCTTTCAAATAAAATACGTGGCAGAATAGGTGAGTCATTGGCTCAAGGAATGAGAAAATCTTTTTTTTTTTCTGCCATGCTGTACTTTGGTCTGACGTAACAAAGTATTGAGAATTTACAATTGTTTTTATTGTTATTTCTTTAAAAACGCCGTCAGAGGAAACATTATTTTGTTGCCCTACTTACCAGACGTAAGATTGATGTTGTGACGGCAATAATTGGTTTTTATCTCCGTGCAACCTACCTGTTTGTTCTTAGTTATCTGGAATGACTTTCACTGTTGTTTTTTCGAATGGTTATATTGAGATATAAGGCGGCAGAAAAGGGCCTTTTACTTTTTTAATTATATTTTATTTGGGGTATAAAGAAATTCAGCTTCACAACTTGCTATTCTGGCAATTCCCTACAGAAACTTCACTTGCCATACGGGCAGGTTAAAAACAAAGTTCACCAACCCGGTCATAAAATCCAGTATCCCAGGGCTCTTGCGCAGACACAACTTTCTTTGCACGCTGTTTAATATATTTAGCTGGAACTTGAACCTTTGAATGCCTTTGGACAACACTTTTACTCTGAAAATAAGATTGTCATTTTTGCGTAAACAATGCAGGAGTAATTTTTCTTGTATTGCTTGCAACTATTTATTATGTGTATTAAATTGCCTAAAGTAATTCAATGTCTAAATTAGAGGGCTGAAGAAGAAATTAATGGGCCTTAAGTCACTGTGGGATTTTTTTCTTGTGTGTGTGTGCGTGTGTGTGTATGTGTGTGTGTGTGTGTGTGTGGGGGGAGCAGTGGGGTGGGTCTGTGGCTAATATTATAGGACATGGGTTATTACACACTTTAGGAGAAACAATGAATCCTGGAAATAGAAAAGTAATACCTACCAGACAATTTCAACCTCTTAGCGATTATAATGATTTAAAGCAACTGTTAAGAAGTCGCCTTTAGGTAACTTAAGGTCCCAGAGTAGGTCTTATTACTTTGTAAACTTGAGCCTGCGAAGACGTTCTGCCTCAAAAAGCCTTAATCCAATCCCTTACATTAATTTTAATATAGGCTGATAGTCCCAGCACATTTGCTAACCTATTCAACGGGTCACCTTTCACTTTAAAGCCTTCTTTTAGTGTCTTCTGGTCGCCTAAACAGGTAATTATATATTTTTATATCTTTTCAATGAAAATAACTTTCAAGTTGACTATTAATTTCTCTATTATTTGACTAAATAAAAAAGCTACTTGTTAAGATAAAAACGACTGAAAAAGAAAAACACGTTTCACCTCACTTGTTACTCCTAAGACCAGCTGATATTGGCCTCAAGAATAATTTCAGTGTAAAATGCTAACTAATATGCCCTATAATAACTGGTGTCACTAAAGACAATAGAAAAGGAACGCGAAGTAAACTCAGATAACACAGAGGTGACGGTTTTTGTTGGCTGCGTGAGTTCGTTGGCGAATCTAACATTCAGCAGTGGCATCAGGCGTGGCGTCATTCTTTGGATTAGAGGACTTTTCTTCTCGAGTGGTTTTTCTTCTGGCTCTTGGAGACGATAGTAGTCTGTACAATACGTAATACATGTAGCAGAGTCCCAGTCCCAGTCGATTTGATGTTTCGTGTGTAAATGGTGCTCAGCAATGTGATTGTTGACGTCACCACTTCTGGTCGCTCGTTTGTGTTTGGTCAGACGCGTGCTAAGGTTTCTGCCAGTTTCACCAATGTAAGTAGCCTGGTAGTCGCAGCATTTGTCTTGTATACTGGTCCCTGTCTGTCCTCCGGTTTGTCTTTGTCGACAACTATACGGACTTTGACGAGACGAGCACAACTGGTTTGCGACTCGCGAGACAGCCTATAAGACGAGATTGACCACAGAAAACGTTTTTATTAAAACAACTACAACATGGACTTTGTCAGACGGAACACTCACAGTAACACCGATTCTTACACTCAAACCACATCAACACTGGCCCTGTTACGACAGCGCGCGACTATACCGTACGTCAAGGGCACCTATGAAATTATCGCACGTACACAACAACCTTACAATATAGGTGTTGCACGCAAACCGATAACCACTTTACGGCAACGGGAACGTTAAAAAACAATGGGTTTAATGAGCAAAACAACAACTCTGCACGTGCATCACGCTTTTTTGTACATTCCTTTGCCTTCACTGCACAACTACGTCGTGAAATGACCAAATTTTAAGTTTACTTGGACGATAAATTCTACCATTTCTGTCCGAACTTGAGCGCATTCCCCTCTCTTCAGCACCAGCCAAAATCCCCTTCTTTTAAGTAACAGGGCGGATTGGGATAATCGCGAAAAAGTTTAAAATGATGCGAAGTCTGTTTTTCAGCGACGTTTTCATGGACGTGGCCGTTGTCGGATCGTAAGGTCCTCAAGGAAGACAAACCGGAGGACAGACAGGGTGAAGTATACAAGATCAAATGCTGCGGCTGCTAGGCTACTTCAGTTTCATGATATTTGTCAAGCGTTTGCCATAGAGGTGAAGGAAAGGCAGAATGGCATCTTTGTTTTACAGTTATTGTTTTTCTTACCTTATCAAAGGTCTATAAGAAATCAGCTACTCCATAAATCGATGAAGTCGAAATCAACGTTTTTAGTGAAATAACTGTTTTTTGAAACTCCCGTGACACTTATTAGAGCAACTGTGGGTGTATTCGGGCGTGAAGATTGCTGTATCTCAGTAATTTTACTTGAGTAGTCATTCAGCTGAATCATTCCGTATGACATGTCGCAAACAAGTGTCAAGTTGAATTGGACATTTGTTTGCATAAAGCCAAAAGGAAATGGCGGCTGAGACACGAAAGCTTTCTGCTGTTCTTTTTTTGGTAGCCTGTGCCATTTCTGTGCCCCAGGGGAACGGTGGAAATTTGTTAGATCCAACCTTAATTGGGAGAGAGTTGCAGTCGTTTGCTAATGATGCTCTTGGAGTGGATGACCTTCAAGTAAGACTACATCTCTACTAATTTAAGCTTTGACTGATCTTCAACTGTGGGTGTATTCGGGCGTGAAGATTGCTGTATCTCAGTAATTTTACTTGAGTAGTCATTCAGCTGAATCATTCCGTATGACATGACGCAAGCAAGTGTCAAGTTGAATTGGAAATTTGTTTGCATAAAGCCAAAAGGAAATGGCGGCTGAGACACGAAAGCTTTCTGCTGTTCTTTTTTTGGTAGCCTGTGCCATTTTTGTGCCCCAGGGGAACGGTGGAAATTTGTTAGATCCAACCTTAATTGGGAGAGAGTTGCAGTCGTTTGCTAATGATGCTCTTGGAGTGGATGACCTTCAAGTAAGACTACATCTCTACTAATTTAAGCTTTGACTGATCTTCAACTATTGAAATATTCAATGATCAGTCTTCTGTCAGGTGTATTACACATGGTGATTGCACATAATCAAAGTTAAGCTCAATTCGATAAGTCAGCTGACAAAGTTGATTACTTGTGCAAATCTGAAACGCTGAGTATACGTGGGAAGTTCATTAGACATTGATTTTGCGACATACGAAAAGGGAAGCTCGAGATTAATTCCGCTTTGTGGTTTTAGAGTTAGCGTTTAGCGTACAAAACAAATCGACACAGCACAGTGCACGTCGCTTAGAAAGTGAATTGGCGTTCTTTAAATCTCCATCGCGAATATTTGAAATGACTTTTTAATACATTTATCAAATGTAGGCGAAGTCTCCTGGATCCTGGAATTGAATTCCTTTTGAAACATATCCAAGTTCGGAAAAAGAAAGAAACTTTCTTCGTTAAGCGTTTTTACGTCCTCTATTAAAAGGGAAATCAGTCGTTTTTACGTCGTGGCTTTGAAGTAACGGCAAAGGAATGTAAAAGAATAGTGTGCTGTTCATGCTGAGTTGTTGTTTTACGTATAAACCTATTGCTTTCTTGAAGTCCTTGTTGTCGTCACCGTTGTTGGATTTTAATGTCCCCTTTCTTGTTACTGAAAGCGGCGACAGCCCTAAAAAAGGATGTCAGCGAATATATATGTAATGTATTTATATGAAATCTCAGATACACTACGGTCGGCCTTAAAAGCGTATTGGGCTTTTATCTAGCTGGACCAATATCTGTCGGCGGAATTCCTGAGAAACAAATTTAGGTGATCTTTAATTTTTCAGATTTCTGACTAAAACCATATCAGCGTCGGATCTTTTAATGGTTTTCCTTACAGAACTACTAACTTAAAGTTTACTGGTACGTTTCCTTTTTTTAACATATTGAAGGATATTAGTGAGTGATTACTACTCAGCCAGAAACTGGAATATGAATGAAGTCAGAGCAAAAGTATTGGAATTACAGCGTTCACGGTCCGCTATGAGGCAAAACATAGTTGGTGATAATCGCATTCAAAAATACTTTCAATTTAATTCACATTAAATTTAGAACTAAACCGTTAATGAGTAAAAATAACTCGAAAGGATTCTCTATACTAAATTTCCTGTATTTTTTTTCTTGGCACAAAGGGACCATATATGGTCATATTAACTACGATATTGTGAATGAACGCGCCATAACATCAAGAGTAAACCAAAAGACAAACAGCTCGCTTATTTTCTCTTGAGTGATCTAAGAACTTAGAGCTGATTTTTCTCGCAAAGGACAAATTGCGACCTAAGAAAAGAAGTTCTTAACTGATAAGTCAAATGCAATAATTTAGAGGGTGCAGAAGTGCGCATGCGTCATGAGCGTCTTAATACCGTGGTTAAAAAATCGAAGAAGTTGTGGTTTTCGCACAATTATGATTAGACAACTGAGATCAAGCCTTTATCGCCAGCTAAAACATTCTTCTTGTATTTGTACACTAACTACAACAATACAATGATTCTCTGATCATGACAATGTTGTTGATACCGAAATATAACATTTTTACCCTGTATTTTGTCACTGTTGTCTAGCTATTTTGACTACGTACTGAGACTATCAAAGGAAAATTTTTGGTTATTTTATTTTATTTTTTACAGACGTATTTTAATCAACTGCAGTATCAGACGAATAAACTAGAAGGAAACACGGCAGACCTTTCTGTGAACCTCAGAAACAAGTTCCAAACAAGATTTGCAGTCACAAAACGACTTAAAGATAAAGTTGAAGCTTTATACGCCAAGCCTCCGAAACCCACGACAGCAAAACAATGCTGTGATATCGACAAATCCACCCTGAAATACGATGAACTTTTCCGCACCAAAGTCGACCCTAACAACATTTGTTTGAAGATTTCTGGTGCTGCAACCCCAAACCCTAGACATTTGGAGGCAGAGGAAATTTTAAAAGAAATGAAAGACATTCATACAAAAAACCCCTTTATCAAGTGGCAGTACTTTGCATCTGTGGAGGGTGTCTATACAGGTTTTCCAGTGTTTGACGATCCAGCCCCATGTGACTTCTACGATCATCGATACAGACCATTTTATGTTGAAACCGCCACCCCTGAAGCTAAAGATGTTGTGTTGGTTATCGACTCAAGTGCGTCTATGACTGGAAAAAAGTTTACTACTGCTAAAGAAGCAGCAAAGACGGTGTTAGACTCGTTGAATCCTAAAGATCAGGTGGGTCTTCAAAAACGTGTTTGACAATGATAATAACTGAAGAGGTTTGAATAAACGAAACTTGTCTTAAGGCTAAAATAAAAATTCTTCCAAATTTGGTCACCGGTAACTGGTTATGGTGAATTATGCGTGTGCTTTTAGCCAATCAGATTCGGGGAAAGATTTTGAATGAATAATAATTTAATTTAATGGCATAATTTGTAAAAGAATTACAGTGACCCCATATAAAAAAAATCACCTTAAATCACCTTATATAACGTTGGTAGGGTTGTCTTCTTCAACAAGGTCTCGTAACTTGATTTATCATCCTTAAATACCGCTCGCAATTCCCAGTTTCTCTTGCGTTCCTTTCAATTTGCACTTGTCGGATGCTCTTATGCATAACCATGCAATTGAACAATAGTTCAACCCAGGAAGACAGAAGAAGCAACTTGGTCTTCACTGAACCAGTTTCCTCATCCTTGCCAGAACTCCAGTCTTAGAATTGGCTTTGGAGCACATTAACTTAACATAGTCACGAAAATTAAGTTTGTTATCTAGAACGACTCCTAATAATTTCAGAGAGTTTAAGCATTCGATCTCCTCGTGATCAACAGTGACACGTGTCTCCGATGTGTCCTTAGCTCTGGGAGCTAAGAAAATTGCTTGAAACTTATCTTTGTTTGCTAGAAGGAAATTGTTTCTGTACCAGTCAGTCACTATCACTGCTTCATTGTTTAAGGCTGACACGACTTTGGTAAGCGAGTGATCATATAAATTATGTGCATAGTTGATGATCGTCCACGTACATAAGTAGATCCCAGTTGTTTATGCTGTAGTATAAATCATTTTAAAATATGTTCCCCAGCAGGGGTCCAAAGCACGAACCTTGGGGACATCCCTCCCTTTAGTTTTGCAAAACACTTGTAGAAGTGGAGAGTTTGACCCTGCCTTGCCGACCCTGGAAATACGAACGTAGCAGTTGTAGCCACTCATATAAAAAATTATAAGCTTCTAATTTCTTTATCATCACAGCAGGCAACAGAGAGTCAAAAGCCTTACTGGTATCTGTGGAAATAACTCCCACATATTTTCCATCGTCAATAGCAAATTTCCAATCCCCGAATAGTCTATCTTAGTCCTTCCCTGTAGGCCGATTGATATTTTAAGAGACATGACTCTAATTTAGATGTAACTTGCTTACTCAACAACTGTTCGAAAATTTTATTAACAGCATTTAGAACAGTCATTGGTCTGTAGTTCTTCTTATTACTTTTATCGCCCTTCTTGAAGAGGGGAACCTATTCACCTAACTGAGCGATTTCACGCGCGCAAATTGGACAAGAACCACAACATGGTCTATATGAGTGCAGATCATGGAAATGACGCGAGCGATGGTGTTTCCATCTCTTTTTCTTGCGCGCCCTATTTTCTGAGAAAGTTAACTAAAAATCGGCCTAAAAATCTGTAAATGGTACTGTAAAAAACTAATCTACAACAATTTCACATGGTCTATATCTTTATCGACCATATAACTAATGTCAAAATGTACAGAACTTTAATGTAGTGAAACCACTCAGCTACGGCTTGTGGTTCCACTTGAGTTTAGACTATTTTGATGTCATTTCTATGATCGATAAGAGTACTGACCATAACAAATTGTTGTATATTTGCATGGGCACAAGGGAGGTGCTCGCTCCAGGTTATAAGCTCCTGCTCAGTTACATTGGCGGTTTGAAATAGAAGCCCATAACTTGGAGCGAGCAACTTCCCTGTGCCCATGTAACACCGTTTTCACAGACCACTTTTTCCCGCGAGTTTTGAATATCAAATATCAGTAAACAAAAATCGGAGACTAGAAAAAATTATTTCTGATGTTTTGACAGCATCTACTTCTCTTTGTTATTATCGTTTGAAAATATCATCCTTTTATCGTATAGTTTCACCCGGTGCTTCCATGATACATAAATACATTGATCATAAAAAATGATATATTTTTGGTTACTTTTCTCCAAGGTTAATGTAGTTTCCTTCAACACAGAAGCTTCAACGGATGGTGGTTCTGACGTCACGTCTTGTTTCAGTGAGCGATTAGCTCTAGCTGTTCCTGAGAATAAAAGAAGCCTGAAGAAATACATTGATGGACCCAAGTTTATTGCTCAACGTAAGTCTAATAGTTTTTCACTATCATGTTTCACTTCGGCAAGCTCCCTAGCCTGCGTAGCAGTCGTTTCCGTTTCCTGTAGGCTAATTGGGCAAGTGCAAAAGAGCACAAGGAAAAAAATGAGAAAAAGGTAAAAGAGAAAGGGTGGGGGGGGGTAGGAAAGGAAACTGTTTCTTCTTTCTCCCTGGCTGTTTGGGCAGCCATGTGACAAGTAGCGGCATCAAGGTCCAACTATTGCTGTCCTGCTAGGAATCATGATCATCAGCAACCTGCACCGGACAGCGACATGGCTGGAGACAAACGTGGGCTGCTGCCCATATAAATGACTGTAGAGTATATCATTTGCCCTCTCAAGCTAAATTCCGGTTGTTGATTTAGCGACTCTGTCTGTGGTTAAAATGGAGACTGCCACGTCCTCTCTAGTTTTCCTATAACTTGGAAAAAAAGCGGCAAATAGCGAGCGAAGTAAGCGCCAGCGAAAAGCCCGACGGGGTGTGAGATTGAGACCCACTTCACCCCATACTCTGCATACTCCCTTCCACTTTGCATTTTTAACAACCAGAATTACGAGAAAATATTTGTAAAAGTAATTGAAAAGTTAAGTCTGTAGTATAGAGGATTTTATTTCTACCAGTCCTACTGTATTTTAACGAGCTTGTTCGGCGATCGGAGTCAAAATGATGACGATTTCAAAAAACATCTCAGCAATCACAGCCTAAATTGTCCAAAAAGAGACCAACAAGAGCCGCATTATCCCATTATGGCTCTTGCAGACCAGTCATTCAACGTACGCCACGTCCACACAAATCTAGGTATTTTTGTGCACCCGCATTTTTTTAACATGCACGAATCGATCGATCTTTCGCACACACAGTAACCAGTTAAATCGCTCACCGAAACTGCATTTTTGATTTAGGACCCTGCTTGAATGTGTTCGAGATGGTAACGGAACTCGCAGTGGAATATTCGTTTCCTGTCCACACGAATCCGGGAAACAAAATGTATGTGGTTTCAAAAATGTCCGGTTTCGTGTAGACGAGGTATCATATTAGTATAGGTAATCACATGATTTTCTCTTGCAATTTGGACTAAATAAGCACGAGTAAATTTTTCAAAGACCAACAAGAGTGCATGAGCACGTAGGGCGAGTGCACTTTGTGGTCTTTGAAAAATGTACGAGTGCTTATTTATTCTGCCAATCAGAAACCATTTGTAATTTGCACTTGGTCAAGTTTAAAGTAGGAATAGACTAAGGATGGCAACCCAATAACCCCGAACGAGGCGGTTCTGACATCGATGATGGGATTTGAAACAGCAATATGGTTCTCTAAACGGCCTAGACGTATCAACTGATGGCCCCTTGATGTTTTTGCCGAAAGCATTTTATTTTTGTTGAGCCTGTTACAATTATGAGAATGAACGCCTCCTATCTATCAAACACCTCTGCTTGGAACCCTAAAATTAGATAGACGCCCCGGCGTTTATTAGATCATTTACAGTATTCTCTTCCGCGTCGGCAACCTACCTACCTCCCCATATTATGCGAAATTAACTTTACCTATTTATTGATTCATGACTCTTCAGGTAGATCTGTTTATCAAGTGGGATTGCTAAAGGCCTTTGATCTGTTGAAAGCTTCTGCTGTTGGAGAATCTGACAAAACTAAGAGGAGAATTATTTTATTTCTCACGGATGGCGATCCAACAGATGATAGAGATTTGATCTTCAAAACGATAAGAGACAAGAACTTGGAGCTTAACAACTCAGTCATAATTTTTACGTTTGGAATTGACACGCATAATCCTGAAATCCTCACAGACATTGCCAATCAAGATACAACAAAGTATGGCTATCCGCGAAATGTGTCTGTTGGAGATGTAACGGTAAAGTACAAGTAGATAAACTTTTCACCTTTGCAAGGGTAATTCGCTTACATGTAAGGCAGCTTCCTTGTCAAATCTCAGATGCATTCAATTGTATTGTAACGTTTTCGGTTTAAACGCGGCAGTTTCAAAACTTAAAGAAAAGCTAGCCCCGGTGAGTGCCTAGTAATGATCCCAGAAACACTTGTGGGGGGTAATTTCGACTTCAGTTCCCTTATCGTTTCTAAAGTGACGAATTGTTTATGACAAAATTCGATTGACCCGCGATGAACACACTTTTGCAAAATTAGAGCATAAGAGATCCTACTTTTTAAAGAAAATCGCTCGATGTATGATACTAGAGCGTGAGCAACCTATCGTCATAGACGTAGTGTCTTATCTAGAAAGTAGAAGTTCGTCGTCAAGGGTTTAAGGTTGTTTTGAGGTCCAAAGCATTTAGTTTCTTTTGTATGCTAGTCACGTTCTTAATTAATCGTCTTAAGATAGTTCAGTTCAAAAACCGTATACTTTTGATATTACTAGCTTTCCTTAATATTTAATTAGGTGCCAGAAGATCCTCAATCTGTAAGTCACAGCTTTTTGTACGCTTTTCCTCATTAGCATGGACAGTACACCGCAGTAACGGAAGATATTAACTTGCTGCGAACTAAGATGGTATCATACTATAATTTTCTTCCTCGAGCGCGACTGGATCAACCAGTAGTGTCTGTCCCGTATATTGATGGATTTGGAACAGGTAATGTTTGTCTCTTAACTCAACGCGCCCCTCCCCCTCCCCCACCACCACAACAACGTTAAATAGCTAATATAATAGGGTGAAAGATACTTCTTAGTTTTGGCGCAAAATGTAAGCTTTTGTATAAAATTTATAGTTCCACATGTAATAGTACAAAATTGACGTAGAAACGTTTCTAAGATGGCTTCTTAGAGGTTGAAGGATGTTTCGGAGGACGATTTTACGTCATTGCAAAAAGACCCGCGAATAGTCCTCGCGTAATATAAACACATTTAAAAATGGGGCATTATTGTCTCTCGCTTTTGTTAAACTAGCTTTTTTGAACTTGATGGCTGCACAACTTTCAATAGGTTTCATTTTGTTGTTATTGACCAATTAATACTTAGCACTAAATTATTCAGTCACAATTTATAAACAAAAAACAAAAGATTAATTGTGCACCGTCAAGAAGTTGCATGAAGATAAATCGTAGATACTCTTGTTTTTGAGCCATCTTAGCTAAAGAAGAAACAAAAAGCAAAATGCAGTGATAAATATAAGGAAATATAAACGCATTTTAGGAAAGAAATAAAACTTTAACTCGACATTTCTTATGTTCCTCCGACCAACAATACTTGAATCACGAAATCTGATGCCCTTTTCTCCTATTTCCCCTTTCAAGGAAAAGCGAAAATAAGACCTCGCTAAAAACGCGAAGTTAAGTACCTGTGAAATTAACTGTACTAATAAGGTATTTGGTGGTGGGAACAGGTAAAAATGGAATTAAGGAGGAGGAGGAATTAAGAACTTGAAGAATTTTTTTTCTCTTGTGATCAGGTCTTCTGATGTCGATCACTCTTCCATGCTATGATAAAACAGGAAACTTCATTGGCGTAGCAGGGACAGATATCAACCTGGAGGACCTTCTATCTGACATCACATTCTTCAATCAGGACCAGACAACCTACGCTTTTATGATCGCTAAAACAGGAAGGACCTTAATTCATCCTCTTCTGCCAACACCTTCTGGAGCGTATGAAGACCCTTTTTTCATAGACATTAGGACCCTGGAATCTGATTCGCAGTTCCTTGAGGTGTTTGCTTCTATGACAAGGTATGCATGCATGTGCTTTCGTTTTAGCTATTTGCTCTTTTTTTCTATGTGTCAGTGGCCTTAAACTATGAACAAGACAAGGCAAGGTGAGCTGAGAGAGACGTGAATGTCGTCCCATGAGGTCAGCAACGTGCTGACGTGTTTATATCTGCATACATTTCTTTGCGTAAAAGATACTATTCAGTAATCATGGAAGCTTGCTTATGCTAAAACGTTTTCCTGCCTCGCCTGGAGATTAGGGTGGGGTGGGCTGGTGTCGATCTTTGTTTGTTTGCTTTACACTTCTATTTGACTTTGGTGACTCTTCTGTTTTAAACAAACAGGGGTGAATCTGGATCAACAACTTTCGTAGCCACACGGTATTTACCGCGAGGCGGTGACATCAAAGACGGAGTGGTAGTAAAGCAGCTTAATTCATCTTATTTTTGGTCTCCAGTGGAAAAGACGGATTTTTCCATTGGTGTGGTTATACCTGTTACCCATGTAAACGAGGTGTTAAACACTTTACAAATTCCCAAAGGTAAGGATGGTTTCAGTTTAACAAGTTCAACTCATCATCGTCCCGCAATTCTACTCTTGTCCCCTAAGGATAGTCCAAGTCTTAAGGCCAGATATCAGTTAATTGTTAGTTGTGATGGGGTGTGTGTGTGTGTGGGGGGGCAGGGTTGCCACGCCTGGTGCTAATCGTTCATTGTCATAAACGTATGTTTGCCTCCATTGATTCAGGTTACTCTTTCAAGTATCATCGAATAGACTTGGATCCACCTCAACATCCTTGCTTGCATTTCGGAAATATTGTAACTAGCGGTGAGTATAATTAAAGTACTGTTATATAGCTTGTAAATAGGGAGTTTGAATCAATATTTCCTTTATGCCTTGTAGCTTCTTTGATCCGTGAGCACCCTGCCAGCAGAGTCTCCTTTTGTCTTGTCCATTGAGGAGGAGAAAATGAGGCTCTTCCTGAATCACGTGAAGCCTTTAATTGAAGCAGCGGTAGCCTGTCAGTTTTGATTTTCCCTCGTCAAACTGGGTTTTGGGTAGCCTGCGTAGCTAGCCTTTCCAATCGAGTTATTGCGCGAAAGTAAGAGCTGGAGTAGAAAAAAATTGAAGGCCCTAGATTCACTCAACATGGCGCATAGGGGGAAGACGCTGCAAGAAAATGTCGTGGGATAGCATGGACTGACCAAGATGTTAAGGAATTAATTGAACTTTTCGTCCACCATGTTTTAACAGAGGAAGCAGCATGTGCACTAGGCCCAATCGAGTACGCTGGCCGAGATGTTGAGCTTTTTAACCGTACTAAATCATAATTCCACATCGCTTAGCACAGTTGACAAAAGGACGTGTAAATGAGTGATCAGTACTATTTTTTTGGTACGCGTACCACTTTCATCCGAGCCGTGCAAAAAATTTCCTGCCGTGTAAATGGGGCGTTCGTTTCAAACGTCGAGCTTTTCATGTGCCGAACCTAATGTACAAATTATTCTACCGATCAATGGATTCAGGATTACGTATGACTGCGCCACCTGCCAGCTCAGTTCAATTTGCTCTTGCTCAACCAAGAGATCGGATGTTTTATTTGACCCCCCCTGCCCGTGTTAGAAATTTGGTAGAGAACCACACCAACGGACGCTGCCCCGTAAGAGAGGAACAAAGTTTTGGAGCTTTTTAAGTCACACGTTGTCTTCATCGGTGAAATCACAAGAACCACAAGCAACGGTATAGTACATATAGATTTAGGAGACATGGTAAGAAATCCTGAAGTCTTGTCTCTAGAGCCAGAAATTGGCAGCAAAAAAGGAAAAAAATCCCAATCCTGAAGGGAATGACTCTCACCAAAAAGTAACAAAGCCCAGAGGCAGCAAATTGACTGAAACGCCTAAAGGCGAGAGAAAGCAAAAGAGAGGGCATGACGAACAGGATACGGCAAGCGAAGGCCCGAGCGATAATGGCGCCAAAGTTGTTATTTCGCCGCACTCAGCAAAGCTTGTCTAACCGCAGCCTACTATACAAGACACATTGCTGGCGACAATGCAAGCGGGTTTCGATTTCCTTGCGAATATCTTACAAGAAGAGAAGGCTCGAAAGAGTGAAAAAAGGCCAGCACCCTCAGAACAGCTGGCAGGTCGCGCAATCTTACTTGATCCCCTAATACCGTAATGATGAGGTAGAACTGTTGTCGATTTGTTAAATTGTTACCTTCATTTTGTTCACGTAGATACAACCGTTGTAAAATTTGCCCCACTGGCATTTATGGACCCTTACAGATACATTGGCATGAACGAAACCACAGTTGACGTGAAGAAGCTTCATGATTTTATGATGGGAAGAACTACTTCGAGTGAATATCAGAAGTTAAGACCAGACATCCGTGACACCGTCATCGCTACCTGGAAGGCGGAAAATCTGTGGCTACGTGATAAAACTGAGCTTACTCAATACTTGGTTTGGCGATACATTGGAACAGCCAATGGAGTTTTTAGAGCGACTCCTGGTGCTGTGGAGCAAAAAAGCTATGATCCCAGAAATAGGCCTTGGTAAGCGTGTGGCTTTCAGTAAAGAAAGATCTCCTTGCTAGACAGAGTGTTGTTTGTAAAACATTTATGTTATTCTGAACGGCCTTGCCAAATTGGTCTTGATATATTACAGCGGTTACCACAAACACGCGCCCTCGACTGTGAAGGATTTTTCCTCTCTGTTGAAAGCTGGTTTTTCGTGGACGTCAATCAACTGTTTCCATGGTTTTCTCACGCGCCCATGCAGACTGAGAAGGTTCTCTCATCGCTGAATGATGGGAAAAGACTAACAAGAATAATTTCGAATGACGACGGCGTTTTTACTACTTCATCAAGATGAAGGATTACATTATTAAAACAACGAGGTCTGTGCGAGCTGATTGAAATAGCCGAAACACTCCTCTACAGTTTGCGTGAATGTTTTCAGGTTGTTTATTTAATTGTATGAAAACACGGGAGCCGTGGAAGAATTGCCAAGGAGTAGAAACTCAAAAAAAACGAAAGATCTCACACGGACAGGCGAAAAACGCTTCCTCTATGAAATTCAAATGAATTTGAAACCTGCAGATCTACTTAATATCATTCTTCATGTTATCGAATAAAATCCAGAACTAGCGAGAACTCAGACGAGTTGTGAGCGTATATTGAGAAAGCGTATGTTGTTGTAACCTACAGTATGGAATTTAGTCTTTAATTTGATCTTCCCCCGATAAACACTCAACAAATTAGTACTCCTGGTAATCTTGATATAAAGGAGTTTCAGATGTTCCTCTTAGTGTTCAAGAAACAGGGAAAGAATCTTTTCTTGGCCAACGCATGAAAACCATGGTAACGGTTGATTGACGTTCACCAAACAGCAGGTTTGAACCGAAGGAAAAACACTTTGAAGGCGCGTGTTAGTGGTAACCGCTGCGAGATAACAGCCTTAGAAAACTATTAGGTGAAAAAATAATACTACAAAATATAGACTGCTACTACTACTACTACTACTACTACTACTACTACTACTACTACTACTACTACTACTACTACTACTACTACTACTACTACTACTACTACTACTACTACTACTACTACTACTACTACTACTACTACTACTACTACTACTACTTCTAGTTTTCGTAAGGCCGGTACGGTGTTAAGGTTTGCGAAACACGTATTTCTAGTTTGAATGATATTCTTTTCTTCTCTGCAGGTATTACGCTGCAGTAAGTAACTCAGGCCACCTTACTCTTACAACTCCGTATCTGGATATGGGAGGAGCCGGGGAAGTTATTACCGCTGCTCGTTCTTTGTATCATGGAGAGTCGAGTGATAATGTTCTTGGAGTAATGGGAGCTGATTTTCCTTTGAGACACTTTCACAGGTATCCAATGGTATAAGTGTAGAATACTTTGCTACAAAAAATTGTTTTCATGGGGCTTTCAAACTTTGATATGTAGTACAACTCTTTATGTCAGTGGTGAAATCCCACAAATATACTTTTGCTGAACTTTGTTCTTATAATAATAAGTTTATAACATTCATTCAAAATTTCCCCCTTTCTGATTGGCTCAAATCCCCCGACTGATTCTTCATAACCAGCTGATGTTGACCAATTTTGAAAGATTTTAGCCGATATAAAGGAAACTGACGTCAATTGTACAAATATGAACAGAAAATGGAACAGCAAAGGGGGCGGTGGCTCAGCTGTTTTGACAGTGCTGGAGAAAATAGTGGAACACTCGTGAATTGAAGATAAAGAAAAGAGGCGTCTCGCCGGTACCCATTTATACACATGGATAAATTGAGGCATTGTCAGATTTAAACTGTTTCCCAAGATAAAACAACGAAATTACCCGGCAGGGCTCAAAATCCACATCTCATAATCTGCAATTGGAGTCCATGGAATATGCCATAAAGCCACTGCGCCTCTCGTTCATTAAGTGAGTTTGAATTACATATTTCAGGTTACTTACAACGGTTTATCCCAAGTGCGCACAATCACTGCAGTACTCATGTTTCATTATGGACAACTCTGGATTCCTCGTAATGCACCCGGATTTCATGTTGCCCTCAGCTGAAGCTATCGAAGTGGAGCACGTTCATATCACCCAAAAGGAAAAGAGCATGGCAATTGATTTAATTAACCATGGCTACTTAATAAAGAGAACGTGTCGAAATGTGGAAAGTATAAGAGAGCAGAGTTTTTATGAACTTCATTTGCCCCCGGATGGATTCAGTCAATTACATTCAAACCAGGGCTGCAAATATGAGCTTAGTCAAATACCTGGAACAAACGTCTACTTAGGTTAGATACTGAGATGATCTTAGTAATATAATACTTTAGGGCCAATTGCTCGTTATAGGAATGTGGCACCTATTTGTAAAAGAAATGGGGAGAGGAAGGGGTGATATTTCACGCACGTGAGTCAATTAAGTATTCAGCGCTCTTGCGAACCTCGATCAGTTTTTGTCTTAAATATAGCAAAGATATGATCAAAGCGCCTCAGTGTCTCATACATAAATAACTTTAACTTCTGCAATTCAAAGTTAGGGATACTTAAGCAAATTCAAAAGAAAAATTTTAGGCAAAAACGTCTTTACAGTTGTACAACGGTAAGATTTAAAAATGTCAAGCAAAGTTTTCAAAATGGTGTTCATTTCCCTCATTATATGAGAAAACGTGCATGGATACGCTACAGCGGAATAGACGCTTAAGAACACTTGGGCATAAGTTTGCATTGACGAAAAAGTGACCTTCGGAGCTAAAAAAGGTTGCTAAAACAGTATAAGATTAGATAGCGTAGGCACTTATTGCAAAATTGATCTAGGGCTCCACTTTTTCTCACAAAAGATGGTTGATTACATCGGACTAGCTTTAAACTGAATCATTTTGTTGGTCCATCTCATAACAAAATAGTGCTGGATGCAAGTTATATACACGTCCTTTTAGAGAACGGTAGAATTATACTGGATTGGACATTGATGATTTAAAACTTTCAGGCACATTCAAACGGATCGATTAACATCTAAATATGCTCGATATTTCAACCGGCCTTGATAGGGCTTGGTCATGCATAGTACTGAGATCCACACTTTTTGTCAAAGCTCAGCAATGATCCCTTTCAATCTTGACCGTTGAAAGATAAAGATATGCACTTATTTAGTTGAAGTATGAGTGGCAGCGTGATTCAACCATTGAACCATTATTTCAGAATTTTCTTTGATTGTAAGGTGCCTTTAGGGTTTTTAAGTAACCGAAAAATCGTGATATAGCTCCCTTTATATGTAATTAAGTAAGGTCAACCTGGCTTCCTTCTCTGCACAGGTGTTGTCGCGCGAGATTCCCTCTGTGTTTCATCGTCCTGCTCGTGCTCTTCAGATAACGAATGCTCCAGATTGACTGGTTTGAAGTGTGAATGTCCCTGTACCTCCACTCTGGAATTTTTTTATTGTCGGAGTCAGTTTCCAAACAGCAGGTTAGTCAACATAATCCAAAGTCCTTTTATATTAAATGAGGATGATTAATGGTTGGCCAAAATGCAGCTTTAAAAGTAATTTTCAATAACATGCGACTTGGAGTCAAATAATTAACCAGCGGCTGTAATCTTTGCTTTCTTCAATCAAAATTACGACGAACAGTGAAACAATCCAATTAGAACGAAATTCACCAACTAGAACCTAGTAAAGGCGTGAACTGAAAACCGGATGTTTCCTGAAAGGTCTTCTTTGGTCAGATTCAGACGAAAAACGTAAAATGTTGGTTAATTTTTTTTGCCTTAGGGGTCGCATATTATTATCATGAACATTATCATTTAAAACAAAGTGATTTTTTGCTATTTGTAAAAGGAACCAACAGATCTTTACAGTATGAAACCTTCATCGAACCAATAGCCTACTGGCAAAATATATACATCACCACCAACATTAACAGTTAAAAGTCTTCACGTTGTAGGGGCTATGTCACACTATGAATTTTGCTATCTTTTTGAAAAGTTAAAAAATGTTTTCTCTTCAATTGAATTCTATAAATAATGGTCCAGTTTTGTTATTTAAGACTATATTTATGCATTTAAACTGTTTCCTGTTGTCAGTTGCTACTGATGGCTAGGATGGACAGGGATCGAGAATTGAAAAAGCTGGGCCAACCTTTTCAAGACCAAATGCCTGGGGGGAAAAATCACTAAAAAATATTATGGCTAGTGCTCCCTAATGATCTTTCAGTTTAATATCTTCTTCAACTGCAGGAACATTTTATGTATGGGTAAAGGCACTAAGTAATAACTTCAGCACAGATTTGACCTTAAACAGCAATATAGCAGCATGGCAACATAGTCTCTTATATCATCTGTTCTTATAAATGGCTAATTAACGACTACAAAAATATCATAACATACCATATTGCGCTTTGTTTATCACCCCAAAATTTTGCATAAGCATTGTGTTCAGTTTCTCTTGGGGCCTTAAAAATTCCCGAGAGAAACTGAAGACAATGCTTATGCACAACGTCGGGGTGACAAATAAACAGCAATATGGTATGTTATGGTATTTTCTGTAGTCGTCAAAAGCATTTTTTTACGAAAAGTAGGGAAATTGCCTATAAGTGGCTGCAACAGAAAATGAGAATTTCACCTAGGAAAGAACAGAAGAGGCTGTCAAAATGCAGTGAACTCATAAGATTTAAGATTAATTACGCAGGAACAGTTAATGATTTAGTTGGAAACAAGGCTATAATACCTCATCCAGGGGTAGATTTATTATGTGGTATATATGTAGAGTTTTGGATGTCAAGGATTGAGTACATCATACTCGGGTGATATAAGTTCTGTAGCCGTATCTACAGAGTTTCGGTATAAGGCTAGAATGTCTCATGCTTAACAGGTAGATATAACTTGTTGTATCTGCAGCTGAATCATCACCTTTTGTAAGAATCTAATTGACTGATTTCTTTGCTCTACTTTGTTTTGTATAGCCTTCCTTTATGCCCAACATTTGCACCTTCAGGACAACCTAACAGTAACCCTTTAAATCCCAAAACGATTTGTCTTAACAAATGCTTTGATTCCCATTGCGAGAGAAAAAATAGTTCGCATTGGTGTGATGGTATAGTTAGTTGTTATTGGTGCCGGAACGACAAGAACGGCAGAAAATTGGAAAAACCCTACTGCGCAAGCTCCGAACGCTGTTTCAGAGGAATAGAGTCTGCAACTTATGAACGTAAGAGCACTTTCTTGACAGACCTTTTCTTTCATTCAATGTTTCATATCCTTAACTTATTACGTCTTTACTATAGGATCTTGCATAAATCTAAAACTGCAAACATTGACCAAATTTAGCGATGCATTGATTGGCAGAATATGACATAGTAAGGAAAAAATGGGGCGCAATTCTTGTCCTGTTTGAATCGCCGAAGCATATCTCAAAGTCGACCGCCTAGTAGACACTTTTCTTGAAATAAAATTTGGAATATTCACAAAACTCTTTATGTTCCTATAGGAAAGATTCAGTAAAATTAAAACGTGCAAAAAGTGCATTTATATATCTGTCTGGATTTATAAAAAGGTACCTTTTTTTCAAGTGCGTTTTGGCAAGTTGACCGTTGAGGTGAATAAAAAGCAGTTGCAAGTCTCTAGGTAGGGCTTGAAAAGGACAAATTAATCGCTGGCAACACACGGAAAGTCGCTCTTGGCAAAAGCGACAGATTTGTAATGAAATGAACAACATTTTAAGGCACAGAAATTATGACCTTTCAGTTTCTCAAACTCTGTATGAGGCTGAGAGCGAGATGCCCGACTAAAACTGACCTAGAATCAACTTTTCTTGAGCTCAGAATCAGTTGTCTAAGACAAATTACTTCAACTAAACACTCACGCAGCGTTTTTATGCTTGTACACAATATTCTTATAACGCGAGCACCACAACATACCTGAATTCTGTCTGTCAACAACTTCAGGAAATCACATAATTAACCACGTTCGCCGCACAGATAAAACTATCCACAACTAACCAGACACAATGTTCCCACACTTAATACGGGCGAAATATCACCAAATTACTCTCGGTCAATAACTCTCGCGTTCTCCACTTAAATCATCACATGTAAACTCTCCTGACACAGTCAGTCATTTTAGCCAAAATGAGACGAAATACGGTAACATATTGGACGACGGCAGACTTTGCCAATCGTGAGACTTGTTCCTTCATAATAAGGCTTAATGATGCCTTCCGCCTTCCCAGGCGACCAAAAAGAAACTTAGAATATTTACCGACCACGGAAAACAACTTCTACAGCGCGAGCTAATTTCAAATGTAATAGTGTTTTATGACACGGAGAGAATTATGGGAAATGATAGGCAGGGGAGAGGGGGGAAATGGTGGGGAAAGATATAAACAGCATAATAAAAAATGTTTTTTTGTCCACTGCCGCTTGTTAGGGGTTTTTTTGTACTGAAGACATCATAAGAAAAAAAATGGTCAAGTACTGAACAAGCCTGAAATGAGACTGTTGTCTAAAAATCCTGGAGGTACCTTTTTTGTAAACCCAGACGGATCGTAACTTAGCGTTAGTAAGTTGAATGAAAAAAAGTTCTACTTCAAACTTCTCGCCTTGCTGTTTGTTATTGAGTGCATTAGTTTTGCCCTTCGGGCTTCTTTTGTGTATAGTGTAAATATAGTCCAAAATATCACTTCAGTGAACCCAATAAAAAGCAAGGCATGTGAGAAGTTTAAAGTAGACTTCCGTTTCATTCAACTTAATAAGAAGCTAGCCTTAGTGATACATTGGCTTTCTCACGTTTTTAGCTGATAAAGCAAAATGCGTCAAGAGTACGGTAGTGACCCCTGCGAAGAACAAGAGTGGATTGTCAGCGGCTGCTACTGTTGGAATTGCCTTAGGATGTGCCATTCCTGTTACAGCACTGGTGATCATCTTACTTATGTTGGTAAGCCAAGTTTTTGATTCCATCAAATTGTTAAAAACAGGGCTGATTATAGAGACCTTTAAATTCTAACACGAGAACGACTTCCAGGAATTCAGCACTCTAGGAGTGTGCGCGTGCGTGAACCAGCGTCATTATTGTGGGGAAAAGTGATAACCGTACCGTCGACATTATACTACGGGCTTTTATAGAGTGTTTGTAATTAGTTCTTTGCTGGAAAATTATTTAAAAAAGCTGAGTTTCTGGGAGACTGTTGCTGAATGTACGTAAAATTTCAGAAGTTAGGGATAGACGGTTGTACCTTCAGAGAACAGATCAATACAATTTTCATTTGCGAATATTATTGCTTTCATTCTCAACTGAATAGGTAACAAAACGCCGCCAGCACTCTGCAGAGCCACCTGTGAAGAAAGGCGACAGTGTATCCATGCAATCGATTGTATCCAGTCCAGGAATTTCTAATGTACCTGATGTCTTGCCTTTGTCCGCTTCTAACCCTGCTTGTCGAGTTTACGAGGATATAGAACTGCCACCAGAAGGGCCGACTGTCGATATGCCCGCTCCCCAGCAACCATTACATCATCCTCGCGAACCAGCTCTTCTCGAGAAAAAACGAAAGATAAGCACCCAGAGTGCCTCGTCAGCACCACCTGTACCTACTACGAGAAGGCCGTTTGATGTGATAACTTCTCGACTGAGAAGTTTAACTGACATTAGCGAGCCACCCCCTGTTCCCAGTACAAGAAGGCCATCCCAGCGGGATACCACTGTGCCAAACACGCGTCGGTTCCGAAGTCTGTCTGAAGACAGTCCAATGCAAGTCGCGGTCTTCACCAATACAAGGCCACTGGTTTTTGGCTCAGGAAGAGATGATCCACCAGCTCTTGTTCCTAGAGTAAGGCGGCCCTCAAATGGCAGTTTGTCAGAAAACAAGTCTGATTTCCCCTCCATGCTGCCTATTTCTGGCCAAGAAAAAGCTTTATACAGCAATATAACACCCATTTCTGAAACAAGTGAGGACTTCATAACAGAAAATAATGAGGGTGACACCGACGCTGATGGGTACATCAAATGTGTCCATTCCAGGGATGGTCCTCAAACTGTAGTTCAAGTGTAGTTCTTAGTGTGCCTTAAATCCTGCTTCTAGGTTTCGCAAAAAGCCGTAGATGGCCCATTTCTGTGAAGCTACAGTAAATTGCTTTTTTTATTCTGGACAATTAACAAATTTCAGTGTCAAGGTCTATAGCTTGGCCATTTTAGCGTTAGCTGCAATGCATTGCTTTCATTCAGAGCGTGGTTGCTGAACTGCTGAACTAAATTTCACTGCTTCAAACAAGGCATTTCAGGTTCACTGATCAGTATGGCATGTCAGGTGAAGACTTACAAATCCCTTACATACTTTCCAAACGTATCGTTGTTAACGCTAAATAAGTACTATATATCGCCAAGGTGTTTCTGAAAGAGACGGCTAGAACAATAACTATTGTTTATCGCGTCTACATTTTAATATTTGAAGCCTTCATCGTAATTGGATAGCTTATTAACTACTTTGCCAAACTTGTGTAACGCAATACCAAACTGATTGGTAGTTTGGGATGAGTCAGTTGAGCCATTTAAGAACTCTCCTCCCACTTGCCAGCAAGCACGCGTGTATTATGTCTCCAACAACCTACATCAGACGTTCTTCTTGTTGAGGCTGGCTTCACAGATCAGACAATTGTGGCGTTATACGTTATTCCATTCAAGCTCACAAAAAACATAAAGCTTTCTATGTTTCAGTTTAAAATAAACCATCATATCCTGTAGACTCGCGATAAACTATTCAAGGCCAAATTTACTGACAGTGACTCCTGTCATGTGAGTGAATTGAAGCAGACCGTACAGCATCTGTTTGTAGAATGCCAGCATCTCCTCTCCTTCTGGAACCATTTTACTTCTTGGTGGAACGATAATAACTCGCCCTCAGTGTCCTTGACCAATAACGTTAAGATTTACGGATCTTAATCTTTTCCTGATAGTCGCTCGTTTTTGTATCTACACCGTAGCCAAAGACTGAGCGAACCATATGGTTTCTTAGCCTTTAAAGCTTTTCTGAAATACAAATTATCTATAGCTAGAGCCTTCAAGTGTCCGTGAATCCTTGAGCCTTTAGCAGCACTCATGCTTGACTTGTTTAGTTATTTCTGTTATTTGCTTATTTTTTAATCTATCTATTCAACTATTCATTTTCTATTTTTTTTCTGTAATTCATTAATAACTTCAACATCCTGTACACCAGTTGTATCGTGCCTGTTTTTTTTATTTTGTAATGTCATTCTTTGTTTGTTAATATTGTATATTGCATTGTCAATAAACTTCAATATTGAAAAAAATACTTTGCCAAAGAGCCTAGAGTTGAGATTCACTTTTATTGCTGCAAGTAACTGGGACCTGGCTTCGAGATTCATCGGATCTTACCGATATTTCAGGTTATAATTTTGTCCACAATCCACGTAAAGATAGGACAGGTGGAGGTGTAGGTCTATATTTAGCAGACAATTTTGATTTTAAATGTCGACCTGACATAGTTTTTTCTTGCATTGAATGTGCTGAGTCTTTGTTTATAGAAATCAATAGGCTGAAATAGAAAAATATAATATAGTCCACTCTGGACAAGGATTCATCGGTTCATTTGATCTACCATGATCCGAGTGATCTCGGGTCACTGATCCTAATCCGGATCATCCCAAACGAACACACCCATATGAACGACCATTGTCTTGAAACAACAGGAGAATTTTTAGAAATTACCGATGTATTCAAGAATGTTTATCCACTGATTACACGTCCGACAAGACTAACTTCTAACAGGACTACGCTAATTGATAATACTTTTACGAATAATTTAAACAACTTCTCTGTTAGCGGGCTAATGTTTTGTGACATATCTGACCATCTTACTATTTTCACATTGCTTCTTGATCAAAATAAGAACTTATAGCAAAACCTCTTGCCTCTCTTTTCGTGACAAAAGTGCAAATAATGTCGCTAAGTTTAAAGATAGGCTGGCATAAGTTACTTGGGATGAGCTATCTGAATAAAACGATCCTGATTACGCTTATCGGTGTTTCCTTGATAAACACACTACCATTTACAATCATGCTTTCCTCGCAAAAAAGTGAAACTTAGGATTGTTATTTCGAGTAAGCCAGGGATAACTAAAGGTCTTCTTAAATCTGTAAGAAAAAAAAGTATTATTCTCGCTTGCGTAAGCAGCGAGACTCATAATCTGCAAGCCGCTTTTTTCTTCGTATTTAGTACACTAATGGGGGTTCCTAGCATGTTTTATGAAGAAAGCTTAAGAAAGATTAATGCGACTTAGAGCTTTTCCGGAACGGGTAGGTCCACGAATTCTCTCGCTTGAAAGCGTTGATTACTTTGGAACAAGTGAACACTTCAGTGGTCGAAAAAAAAAAACCAGTAGAATGTTAATTAGCAAAACTTCGATGGTGAGGCTAACTGGTCTTTCATTGTATGCAAATTAGTCTTTTCGGCGACCATTGAAATGATGCGCGATGCGCCACGTTCATCACGAATTTTCATTTATTATATACATACAGAGAAATACTCACCAAAAAGTTGTGTTGTAAATTTTGATTCACAAATGAGTTCTAGCCAATCAGATGAGTGAAATATGGTTTTCACACGTGAAAAAAATGATACGTCCAATCAGAATCGCGAACGATGTTTTTTCACATTTGAGAAAAATGATACGTCCAATCAGAAGCCACAGAGGTGTGTGAAGTTCGCGCCAAAAATCCCACCTTTTCTTGCAGCTTACTGAGCGCCGCTTCGCACACATTCGAGGAGAAAAGTTTTTCTTAAGGTCTCGGTAAAGGAAAACGAGGTGCCCACAGAAAAAAATTCTAGTCGCGCGAGTATTTTCGCTACAAAGGCAAGTTATATATCAAATTAAAGCTAAAAGACTAAATTACCTTATAAAAGATTTTATTTCATCGAATTTCAAAAGGCGCTTAAGTTTTTTTGCTCTCGAACTCAGAGGTATCGATTTTACTGCTGAAGCTCCAGCCCTTTCGCGTTGTTAAATATTCACTTCCTTTTTATTGCATCTGATTGACAGATAAAAGACCTAAAAAAGGGTGTGAGGAAATTTGCATATGTCTCGTATTAGCGGAATTATTGCATTTCAAACTAAAAAGTGGAATCTTGAGCGCGATTTACGCAAAGAAACTGGCATAAAATGAGTTACAAAGGGAAATCGGAAAATTCCTCACACACTTTTTTAGGTCTTTTATCTGTCAATCAGATGCAATAAAAAGGAAGTGAATATTTAACAACGCGAAAGGGCTGGAGCTTCAGCAGTAAACTCGATACCTCTGAGTTCGAGAGCAAAAAACTTAAGTCCCTTTTGAAATTCGATGAAATAAAATCTTTTATAAGGTAATTTAGTCTTTTAGGTTTAATTTGATATATAACTTGCCTTTGTAGCGAAAATACTCGCGCGACCAGAATTTTTTTCTTTGGGCACCTCGTTTTCCTTTACCGAGACCTTAAAGAGAAAAAAAAGTGAAAAACATTTCAGAAATGGAGTGGATAGTTTCGTTTGTTTCACTGTCGATAAGGAAAATTGTGGAGAGCCGGCGAAAGAATAACGGAAGGGGAAAAACAGAACAAGACTTAAGCCTACGTTGTGCTTTTTGTCGGAGCTACTTTGTCTTCCATTTATAAGCTTAAGCTTATATTGAAACTGGCCATTTTACTTAAATTCACTCATTTTCAATTAAACATTCAGACCAATTAGTTAAGATTACTTGTAGTTTATGAATTACCTCATATTCTTACCGTCGCTTATGTTTTTAAGAAACGTTTCTACTAAAAAGCTGATACTTCGTTTTCATCATTATTTCGTGGTGTGTAGCGGCAAATTTAAACATTTTGGAAAGATTTAAAATAAAAGGGCCACAAAAACGATGAATTTCTCAGTATGTATATAATAAACACAATACCACATGTAAAGTGCTTCGTACGGTATTTACCCACCCGTTGTTTTTGTATCAGAAATCTCACTCGTTCGATTTCTGATACGTCAACAACTCGTGTGTAAATACCGTACGACAGCACTTTCCATGAAGTATTCTCTATGTATTTAACACGCGTTTAACCTGCAATCGCAGACGTATTTCCGGCCGTCGCTAACACGCGTACTAAGTCGAATGCGATATAAAAAGTAAATATCCTTAAGAAGACTCGACCGTCGATAAAGTAGGAAGCGAAAAACCTTTAATGAGTAAATCCTGTTTCGTGCAGAATAAATCGCCCCCTCATTTCTTATCTCATTTCTAAGCAAGCGGGACTCGAGCGGCTTTTAAGTGCGTTCTTGTTATACAAGCGTTTCCATGACAACCCAACTTCATATCGTGAGAAACTTTACAAGAGCTGTAAAAACAAATGCACTTAATAATAATAAGGTAACTTTAGGTCTGTTCATTGACCCATTTAAGGCCTTTGATGCATCAAATCATGAAATTTTGCCCGACAAATTAGAACATTATAGGGTAGGTGGCATTACTTTACAATGGTTTAAAAGTTGTCTTTTTTGTCGAAAACAATTTGTGCAATATAATGGTTACAATTCTTCATTGTTTGATATTACATGTGGAGTCCCTCAGGGCTCTATCTTAGGTCCCTTGTTATTCGTAGTATATATTAATGATCTAAGTAATTTTTCAAGGGTCTTAGAGCCGATATTTTTTGCTGATGACACTAATATCTTTTATTCGCATACTGATGCTTCGTATCTCATGGAAGTTGTAAATTTAGAATTGAAAAAGATAACATGTTGGTTTTATACAAATAAGCTATCTATTAATGTTAAGAATATTCAGACCAAGACAAAACAGGCAAAGACTTGATCTAGCTTTTAATATTAGTAACTTTTCGATTGATCGTGTTTAGGAAGTTACTTTTCTTGGCGCAATTTAACATGGAAATCAAATATACAAGGAAAGTGTCTAAAGCCGTAGGTATATATATATTATAAATCAAGTTTTTGCCTTAATAATTCCTGCTTGCGGACACTACATTATAGCCCTAACTTCCCATACTTATTCTACTGCGTGAGCGTCTGGGCATCGAGCTACCCATCAAACCTCAGAAGATTAATTACACTTCAAAAACGGGTTAAAAGAAGAGGCCTTTCAATGGGTAATTTCTGTTCTTAAGATCTTGTAGATTGGAGCTTGGCGTCTGCGAGCGGACCAGAGTCTAGGTCTGTTTTCCCGTGACTGCGAAATCAGAATGACATCAAGAGATAATTCTCGCTCGAATCGTCGTAAAGAAATCAGCTTTACAGTGTCTTACTCAGATAAAAAGTGCGCCTGTGCCAAGCTTAGAGATAGTAGTCAAAGCAAAAGAAAACACCCCTCTCTCCACATCCCCTGCAGGTTTTTTGCATAGCTTTTTACTGTGCGAGCAGTAAAAAGGAAAATTAAATCCTTAGTTGTTGCAAGGATGAAGTTAACAACAAAAGAAATTTAACGTAGTTTGGGATTCAAATATACGAATTAACGAAAAAAAACTTTTGGTGTAAAAATAGAAGTCTATCGCATTTGCGAAATGTTTATACTGCATGGAAGATCACTAATGGAATACAATAGCAGAGGTATCCCGACTGTAATTTTCCATGCAATGCACCTTATGACAAGAGTGTGACTAGTCCATTGATAGCCCATACCTTAAAGCCCCTCAAAATTTAATTTACTGCTTTTCGTGCATCGATGTGCAAATGTCGCAAATGTATCTTTTGAACACTCCGGGGGTAAAATCAGAGGAACCGAATATTCCCACTGTACCATTTTTAAAAGTGGAACAGCAGGTTTGCTAACCATCTTAGTTAACCACTTTTAAAATAGGAAAATAAAAGAACAAGTAGTCATACATACAGGAAAATAAATTTGCTATATCCCGGGAGCTTTGGTTTCCCGCGCACTTATTTTTCGCAGGAGATCATTGGTAATTCGGTGGTAACGCAATCGGAGGTATCATACTTTACCGGGTTTCTTTACTCACCGTCGCCGCTCAGCAATACACTGCGTGCTGCAAAGGTTCCAAATTGCGCTAGAATGTTTTCCTACTCGGCGCACTTTTTATCTCAGGTAAGGCACGCACTATAAAGCTGATTCATTACGACGATTCGAGCGAGAATTATTTCTTGATGTTATTCTGACTTCGGAGTCACTTGACGTAGACGCCATGTTCCAATCTAGAAGATCTCAAGAACAGAAATTACCCATTGAACGGCCTCTCCTTTTGAAGATTGGTTGAATTTCATTAAAACTTGTACATATAAAAAGAATCTTGTTCCTCTCGAAGCGAGTTTATAATCTCGTCGCGCGCGAAGCGCGCGCCCAGTGCATGAACCGCGTGTTGGTCTTAGTGAGCAAACTTGCAGCTCTCATCTTTACTTGTATATATCCGATGGTGTCCGCTATGACGTCATACAGTAGTTTGATGTCACGGCGCATTTTTGTTTCTAGGCAACATTCGACCGAAAGCGATTTCGAATTCCCATCAATGACCAAAGTATTCATGAAGAGCTGTCTTTCATCGTCTGCAAAACAATGTTTACTATTGGTGAATCTCAAGCCATTTCTCATGAAAACAGAACAGCAAACACAAGAACGCCGAATTGTCAATCCTCGCAGGGGAAGATTTGACACCGAAAAATCCTCTGGAGCGAGAACGCCCACTTGAAATTCAGCGGCCCAAGCAACAAAGATGGAGACGGCATCAACAAACAGCGGAGCAGAGGGAACTTCACTCAATGAATTTCGAATGCTAAAGTACTTTAAGAGCAAATGGAAGCGATTTCGTATAATTAGCCTTAACATATGAGCGAACATCGCGGTAACCAAACACGTTTTGCTCGCAGACGAGTTTATGCCCTATCGGCCTAGACTGTTGGGCTACCATTCTTTACACGTAAATGCGATGAAATGCAGCTACGTTGGATTTTCACTGTCGAAACTGCAGTCATTCTTCTGAAAAATATCTTTGAATTCACGTTTAATAAGGCTCAAAGCTTTTAATAATAAAATTTCAACGGTAGTGGTAAACCTTTGGCCCGGTGTGTCGGAGGTCTCGAGTTCGATTCCGGACATAAACTTTTCCTCTCCGCTTGTTTTTTTTTCGTCTTTCTTTTTCTTTTTCCTTTCCTTTAGTTTACATTTTAGGTATAACAGTTTTGTTATGCTTCTAATATATAGCTTACAATTTTTAGTCTTACAAATTTTCTTCTCGGCTTTACTTGCCGTTGCCCCGAAGTCCTTCGCGAGGTCCTGCGATTTACGTATTTCTAGACAGTTTTTCTTTTTAACGGGCTCAAATCGACGCGTAAAACTAAGGTGACGTACACGCGTCAATTGACCCTGGAGTCAATTAGCAGTTGTTGGGAGCAAAATAACATCAAAATAATCAATCTATTTTAGAAGCGTTCGTAAGAATACCAGACTAACTTTCAGATAATGTTGAACTACTATATCTATATGGGGAGTAACCGGGATTTAGGGTGATTTGGCGAATTCCCTCATATGGAAGATTCGATTTTGGTTTTAGCGGGAAATTGTTTTTTTTTTTAGCATTATGCAAATTACGTATCAAAATTGTGCTTGTTTGCTGATATTTTATTCTCTAAATCTAAAAAATATGCCGTTTAGAAATTGCTAGATATCTGTTTTGTAAAATTTAAGTGAAAGATTGCCAATATATTCGCTTGTATATGAAAGGCAGCTGAATTCCTACATTGGCCTATTTTCCCCTATTTGGCGACTAATTTTAGACCCGCAGACCATTGAAATCGAAAATCTCAAATGATTCTTAAACTCGGCCGCATTTTGAAATTTTTTCTTCAGTAGTGTTATAAACTCATTAAAACCTTATTATAAACCGGTTTTTCTTACCACCTAAACCTGACTTTGATCTTGGAGTATTTGATGGTGTCTTAAGTGGTGAATGACACCCTTGTGGCTAACTAGAGGACTTGTTCATGGAGTAGACTTCATGGAAGAACTTCCAGGAACCCCCCTGTACATTTTCACTAGATCGCTTTCTGGGGCTCTTCTGATATCCAAAATCTGCCAATCGAACCATAGTTAATTAAAGTGGAATGGTTGGGAAACCCTTTGTTATAGGTTTTTGTTCGCTTTTTTTGACCTGACCTTGCACAACGTTCAGTACCATTCCTATTAATTTGAACTTACTGACCAATAGAAACATTGCATTAATTTATTGTCGCAATTTGTGAACAAAAAGCAAAGGATTGTGCACATTAAACCAAAAGAAGGACATGTAAATTATTCGTTAGAGAGAAAATCCTTGCATTGATAAATAGTAATTGACTTACGGGTTTTTTATTATTTTAAGTTCACACGCTAAACAAACCTTAAGCATAAGTAGGTAAGACCTGAGGGAGGGTTAATTTATCCATTATAGTCAATACTTTCAGTTGAAGCTGCCAGCAGGGTAAGCCTAACTGAAAAAACCAGCGCTGGAAAAACTAATGACAAACCACTTAACTTGAATACAGAAATGGAAAGTCATGCAAGCCGTGCTCTTCGTCCGCACTTTCTGCCCATTGGTTACTGCTAAAATAAATGCACATTTGTAAGCGTAATTTTGTTCCCTCTAAAATCTTTTCATACGATGGCCACTGAATACCACTGTAAATGAGAACTGAGCAAGCCTAATTCCAGCTTTGATTAGCTAGCTTCAATAAAAAATCAGTACTCACCTCTCCCCGTTCCTTAATTTTATCAGAGGACTCGTGAAGGGCAACAGACCCCAATTCAGTTGTATTACAGCTCTCGATGGGAACACGAGCGTCGTGAACATCAGAGGTCTGAAAAGGAAAATGGAAAACCATTCATCAGTATGGCAAAAACGTACAAGTGTTTTATTTCTACATGTAATAGTTTAAACACTCAACGACAAAAATGGCAACTAATTGAGCCTAGTTAAAAAATCCATTTCTATAGAAAAAAAGGAAAGAAAGTCGCCATTGTCATGCCTTGTAATCCGGCCAACGGTTCCCTTACACCTCTACCAAAGGGTTCACCCCACCCTACCCCCTCACCCAACCTTGCGTTTCGGCGGGAAAAAACTGTATTTATTTCAAGCTTTTTATGACAGGGAATGGAATACAAAACACTTAAAAACTGGCAATGTATGCAGCAAAAACTGATAGTATTTTCCCCCTAGTAATACTGTAAAGCAGATAAATGAGGAACAGCAAATACTTACCATTTTAGTTTCCTTTGTCCATGCCGAGATGAACCTCTTACAGGTTTTTAGAATTAGGTTCGAAGAAACCCTTTCCATCCACTCCGTTTTCTTTGAAATGTTCATAGGACAAGAAATGGATTAGAAGACCACATTCTATCTCAGATTTTGTTTGATCACGCATGTTTACTCAGGCCATCACTTACTTTCAAATACGCCGATTACAGACTCTTAGAACTTGATTTCCTTAAGGAACTGGATACCTTCATCTGCCATATATGACGTCGAATATATCACCAAAGACTTGAAAACAAAAGAGCAAAGATTGCAAATAGCGGCCAACAACTGATAACAACTCAGCAGTGTCGAATTTACCAGGGACACCCAAGGAATGTTTTCTCCTATTCCATTGAAATGAAATATTTGCATGCGAATAGGAATTTTATGCCTTCCACTTGGCCACACTGCTTGTATGTCATGGTTTTTGCATATTGTTTAGTATTGCGTGACAACATCCGGGCATTATAGGGGGTTAGGGTTTATGCAATCGGTAGTACCCCCCTTTGAGAACCCAAGACACGTGAGTTCCGTAAGCGTGGGTATTCACTTCAGCTACTCTTTGAGTCAAGAAGTGTTTTAATTATGCCTTACCTCTCCTATTCCATTGAAAACACTTTTTAGGGTACCCAGAGTACTTTTAGATCTCTAGAAATGCATTCTAAGCAAAATTTGTATCTGTTCGGTCATCGTAGGGCAACTTGTTGAGTCTTTCGAAACTATAAGGGCTTTAGTATTATTTTCCCGAAAATTTTAGATGCATTTTAACGTATTACGAAAGTGGGAATTGTACTGATTCCTCTCTTCATCACATTTTTGAATCCGAAAATGTTAGGTTTCCTTTTTTCTACCAAAAATAGCCTAACCTGGGGACTGAAATGTAAGAAATCAAATCTTAGAAAATCATAAGGAATTTATTAGATGAGCTTCGAAAATTTTACAGGAATGGAATGGTAATCTGGAAATTTTTAGCCGTCCTCAAGCAGAAGAAAATTTTCGGCATCATCTGCTTCTCCGAACAGATCAGTATTTTACAGAAAACAGTCGTTCGAGCACAAAAGTTTCTTTGACCGATTTGAATGACGTGGCCAAATGGCAATCAATGCTCCTATAATATGAGTTTCATCAGTTCATCTTTCAAAAATATGCGAAGAGTCACTGATTAATACGGAATGCATTGTTAAAAGTCAAGAACAAAGCTCACTGACTGCTTGATGTATCAGTGATATGTTGTACTGTAGAAGTTAAATTCATGAATAGATTTAAAGAAAACTGCCGTCTTTTACCTTTTTATGGACCGAACTGAACTTGTTTGAGTCACTGATTCAGCCATTTTTGGAAATGAATTAGATTTTTAAAATAGCGTCGAATCTGACCTTTGTTTTCATGTCAGTTGTCACTGACAATTAAACGTTGCGGTTTTAGGAAGCATCAAGGCATGGTAAGTGAAGGTCAAATCATGCACTGCCCTGTTGGCGGGTATAACACGCAACCAAAAAATGCGCGGGAACAATTTGCTTTGAGTATTGCAGAGTTGAGGTTGCCATTGACCAACACCTTATGACTTGTCGGTGAATGATCATGGGAATGGCTTTATCAATCAATCAGTCAATTACTGAATCAAAACCTTTATTTAAACACGATGAGGGTTAAAACTTGGTAGCTTGAGGGTCGTCTGGGATCAAACCCTTAAAAGTTAATATTACTAATGATCGACTTGTTTAGAAACGACTTGACATAAGGCCTGATTATCTACTTTCCTGAGCAATGAGGAGAATAAACCCCAAGAGAAGCGATCACTCTTATCCTGAGAAAACAGCCGACTTTTAGTGGGAGTGGTGGTGTCGCGAAATGTCGGCTGTTTTCTCAAGCTTAGTCACTCTTAGCTTTATACTTTTTAAAGACGATATTGCGGAGCATCATATAATAGTAACATTTTTTTAAACTGATATCTTGGGTAGAAACCAACTTTTCATCAGGGTCATTTTGAGCTATCATACATTAACTAAAACGTTGGTTTAAAACAACTATGCAACCATGGTTATTCAGACCATTTTCGGGGGTTGACATTTTCACCTCATTAGCATGGTTAAAACAGCTATTGTGATTAGCCACGACTATTTGAATTAGTTGTTTAAACCGGTCAGTTGTTACACTGTATTTAAGAAATCAGCTACTCCATCAATCGAGGAAATCAAAAACAACGTTTTTAGTGAAATAACTGTTCTTTTGAAACTCCCTTGACACTTATTTGGGCAAGTGTGTGTGTATTCGGGCATGAAGATTGATGTATGTCAGTAATTTTTCTTTTGGGTAGTAAATCATTCCGTATGACAGGACGCAAACAAGTTCATGCATGCAGGTTGAATTGGACATTTTTTTTTACAAAGCCAAAAGGAAATGGCGGCTGAGATACGAAAGCTTTCTGCCGTTCTTTTTTTCGTAGCCTGTGCCATCTTTGTGCCCCATGGGAACGGTAGAAATTTATTAGATCCAACCTTAATTGGGAGAGAGTTGCAGTCGTTTTCTAATGATGCTCTTGGAGTTGATGACGTTCAAGTAAGACTACATCTTTGCTAATTTAAGCTTTGACTGATCTTCAGCTACTTAAATATTCAATAATCAGTCTTCTCTCAGGTGTATTACACATCATGATTGCACATAACCAAAGTTAAGCTCAGTTAATTACTTGTGCAAATCTGAAACTGGCTGACTATACGTGGGAAGTTCATTGGACATTAATTTTGCAACATACCAACAGGGAAGCTCGAGATTGATTCCGCTTTGTCTTTTAGAGTTAAGCGTACGACACAAATCGACACGGCACACCACCTTCATACAGACTTAAACATCATAGTATACGTCGCTTAGAAAGTGAAAAATTCGGGTTCTTTTAATCTCCTTCGCGAATATTTCAACTCACTTATTAATAATACGTTTGTCAAAGGTAAGCGAACTCTCCTGGATCCTGGAGTTGAATTCGTTAGAACCATATCCAAGTTCAGAAGGAGAAAGAAAATTTCTTCCTAAGCTTTTTTACGTCCTCTATTAAAAGTGAAATCAGTCATTTTTACGTCGTAGCCGTGAATTGACGGCAAAGGAATGTAAAAGAAAAGTGTGCTGAACAGTCTGAGTTTTTGTTTTACCCATTCCTTTCTCGAGGTCCTTGTTGTCGTCTTCGTTGTTGGATTTTAAGGTCCCTTGTTACTGAAAACGGCGACTCCAGCACTGAAAAGCAATGTCGGCGAATATATATATCATGTATTTATATCAAATCTCAGATACACAACGGTCGACCTTAAAAACGTATTGGGCTTTTATCTACCTGGAACAATATCTGTTGGCGGAATTCCTGATAAACAAATTTAGGTGATCCAAGAGTCATAATAGCTCTAATGGCTCTTGGGTGATCTTTAATTTTTTAAATGCCTGACTAAAACCATATCAGTGTTGGATCTTTTAAGAGCGGATGTCAGTAAATATCGACCAGAGGTCTACAAAAGTGAAAAATCGAAAATTCTCCAAAAAATTCACAAAGTAGCACTAGGTAAGCTATTAACATAAATGTAATTTTTACTTCGATCTGATAATTATTTTCCACGTACGGGGGGGTTATTGGTTTCGCGGCTCTCGTGCCGAGTTTTCCAGGCCCGAGACCATGTGTCACAAAAAAGTCGTTTTAAAATTCAAATCCATGGTAATGCGGACAACAAATAAGTTATTTAGAAGAGTACATAATTGCACACATTTTAAGTGGTGATTTACTCAGTTTGAACGAAAGTGTAATATTTTGGAGGTTTTTCATTATTTTCAATATTTTGAACGTTTTCGTTCAATAAACAATGGCAAATTTCAAAGCCCCAAATCGTCGACTGCTACCTCGATTTCAGTAACGAGTCTTATACCACGTTAAAGAGCGTTATCTCTTCTTTCAAAATCTGTTTTCAAAACTATGGGCAACTGAAAGGAAAATTTTTGAGGCCAAAAAATACAAGTAGTACTTTTCTGAAATTTGAGCTTTCCAGACTCGGCGGGCCGATGCTAAAAACTCGGAAAAATACAATAAGAAATCAGTTTGAACAACAGTGGTTTCATGTTATCAGCTTTCAGAAACCAAGACGTGTTTATACAGCGATCTGATATAAATTAATGCCGTTTGCTATCAAGAAAGGCAGATTTAAGCTGTCAACTCCTGCCAAGTGCACCAGTCACGTGAAGTTGTCAAAGAGGGCAAAGCACTAATATTAAAAAGTCTTAAAATTCAAAACGTTTTACGTCCAAGAAATCAGATTTTAGCTTACAAAACAATGTTGTGAGTGTCTGTTGTTCGTACCTTAGCATGGTGTTTCCATGTATTGGAAATGTCAGGTATCCACACGGGAGAACATACCAAACAACAACGTTTTAAATTGCGTTACATTTCACAGAGCGACCGCTTACCACTGTTGTCACTCCTTTATTTATTATTATTTATCATTATTTTTGACCGACAAAAGCACCACACATTGACGAAATTGTGCCCTACTTCGTCTACTCCGAAGACAGGTCGTGGAGAAAACAACGCGTTCACGCTTTACATCATCGAGCTTGCTATATAAATAAATCATCCAAGACTAGGTTCTCCAATTAATGTCGCATGTAGCATGTATCCAGGGATACTCTTCATTTATCATCAGCCCACATTTGACAACTTTAAAGTTTACATGTTTCTGTTTCATTACATAGTCATATCGCACGTGCGAACCGTGCGTACAAGTAGCTACGCCCCTGTTTAGTCTCCTTAGCCCTGAGCGTTCCTCTCTTGCGGTTTTCGCAGGAGTTCAGGATGTGGTCCACCCAGTATTTCACGTCTCTATTAAATGACAGGCAGCACTTCTTGTTTACCGTTTCGTTATCAGACAGCGCTTAGACTCTTAGGCTTTCCTTTGATTTTGATCAAATTTTTATCATTTAGTTAGTCAGTATACGTTCGATCCTGTCCTTGTAAACTTACACTTTTATACTTTAAGGGAGCCTAATACCTATATTAATTTTTTCTTCGTTTATAGTGTTGTCCAACAGACCCAGTTTTTTGGAATTTTTTTAAAAAAGCAAGAAAAAGAAATGACAAGGTTTATTTTTTTGGACTTATAAATTAATTCTTTTAATCTAAAAACTGAGCACTATAACAGCATTTCCCGGCATAAAACGTTCGGTGGTGTATCCTTTTTGCTTTTTACCCTTTTTTGGCCTTTTTTCAGATGAAATTGACCATCACATTTTCCGCCATATTGAGTTTGTGTCGATTTGGTGACCATGTCTTGTTGTTTTCAGGCTCCACGGCAATGATGCTGGTGTTCCAGGCCTCCTGTTCTCAGATTTCTTGTGATTTTTTTCACCCCACCGACCGACCCACCCAAAACCAGGAAACCTATTCGACGCTAAACGAACGAAAAGGGGATGACCTACGCCTTGTGGTTTCTTTTTGGGCTTCCTCACCACATTGCTTCTGCGTATTTCTGTATACTTGTCTTTTGCTTTGTTTTGTTCTTTTTTGTCGGTAAAATAGACTGAAACTGTACAAAGACCCTCAATATTCCCTTTGGAGGTTCTTGAACGCGCATAAAAAAAAAAAATGAAAAACGCGATGATTTATTGACCGCAAGGGCAATGAGGTGAGGTTAGGGCTCGTTACTGCGCTCCGGTTCACTCGTGCGCTGTCAAATGGTCCCGATATACAAAATGAAAAATGACTGCGGACAGACTTTTCACGTCTAGACATCAAGCATCTTTTAAGATGGGACTTATCCACTCTCCCTGTTCATGGAGTTGATTCAAGGTGTTAACGACAATTTCGTGATGCCCTGCGTGTTGCCAGGACATGTCTCAAAAGGGCCTTTCCACAGCAAAGGAGTCCGCCGTCACCTTGTCAACCGTGCGAGAAATGATGTACTTTACAAAAACAAAGAGAAGTTATTATCGATTTGCCCCGCTCCCTACCACCGAAAGTCCCCGACAGGACCGCTTCAAAGTACTCCCCACCCCCGGGCCCAAATGGCTGGACTTGTTCCTGTGGTTGCACAGGGGATAGGAACAGGTCTAACTAATTGCACCGTGCATCAATGACAGTTTAGCTCAATCAGAAGCCCCTTTTCCCTGGCTAGGTCAAGGTGTGTGCACCTCCTTTAAGCTGTTTTTTTTTTTCGGTCCTTACTGAAATTTTTTATCTTGAGGAAATTCACAACGACAGGAGCAGGTTATGGGCTTTTTTCCTACCCCTAATCCTACATCTCGGGAAATCCCTCAGGTTAGGCAAGAATTCGATAATCCTTCCATAATCATCCATTTTTTCACCGCGTGAATTGGATATTTTTTAGCTTATTTCGAGGAAATACTTTTTGTTTCAAATCCAGGGTGGACTTTTAAACACATTTTTTAAGCCAAATGGTTTTTGCGTGAATCTACTTTCCTGAACTTTTCGAATAAAAAACGACAAATACCCGAAAAAAGCTCGTGTTGTTGGTGGTGGTGGCATATTTCCGATAAATTCAGTTCAATGTCTCGTGAAGAAGAGTTCAGATCCGTGCCGTGCGCCTCTTGCGAGGCAACCGTTCTGTCGAAATGCGAGCCCAAAAACAGGTGGTAAGCGGTCAATCTGTGAAAAGTAACGCAATCTCCGTCGTTTGAGAGCAGCCGAAGATGCTCTTGCCGATGCTGTCCTTGATGTTTTTTATGTCCAGTGTCTAGGAAACCCATGCTAAGGTATGAAACATACACTCGTAGGCATTGTTCTGTCCGCTTAAGTCTAATTCCTGGACGCAGAAACGTTGTGCTTTTTGAAGTTTATTATTGTGCTTTGCTGTTTGACAACCTTACGTGACTCGTGCGTTTGGTAGCAGAAGATGGCTAAACTCTGCATTTCTTGTTGGAAAACGGCTTTAAATTTTATCATATCGCTCGATAAACACGTGTTGGTTTCTGATAGCTGATAACGTTAAACCACTGTTGCTCAAACTGATTTCTTATTGCGTTTTTCTGAGTTTTTAGCATCGGCCCGCTCAGTCTGGAAAGCTCAAATTTCGGAGAAGTACTACTTGTATCTTTTGGCCTCAAGAAATTTTTTTTTAAGTTGCCCATAGTTTTGAAAGCAGATTTTGAAAGAAGAGATAACGCTCTTTAACGTGGTATAAGACGCGTTACTGACATCGAGGTAGCAGTCGACGATTTGGGGCTTTGAAATTTGCCATTTTTCATTGAGCGAAAACTTTCAAAATATTGAAAATAATGAAAATCTCCAAAATATTACACTTTCGTTCAAACTGAGTAAATCACCACTTAAAATGTGTGCAATTATGTACTCTTCTGAATAAGTTATTTGTTGTCCGCATTACCATGGATTTGAATTTTAAAACGATTTTTTTGTGACACATGGTCTCGGACCCGGAAAACCCGGTCCGAGAGCCGCGAAACCAATAACTCCCCCGTACGTGGAAAATAATTATCAGATCGAAGTAAAAACTACATTTATGTTAATAGCTTACCTAGTGCTACTTTGTGAATTTTTTGGAGAATTTTCGATTTTTCACTTTTGTAGACCTCTGGTCGATATTTACTGACATCCGCTCTTAATGGTTTGCCTTCTGGAACTACTAACTTAAAGTTTAATATGTTTCCTTTTTTAATATATTGAAGGATATAAGTGAGTGATTATAATTCAGCCAAAAACCGGAATATGGATGAAATCAGAGCGAAAGTATTGGAATTACAGCGTTCAAGGTTCGCTATGAGGCAAAACGTAGTTGGTGGTAATGGGATTCGAAAATATTTTCAGTTTAATTCAGATTAAATTTAGAATAACTCGAAAGGATTATGTATACTAAATTTCCTGTTTTTTGGTTGGCTGAAAGGGACACTGGTCATCATCATCCGTCTGCGATCATATATGGTCATATTAACTACGATATGGTGAATGAATGCGCCATAACATCAAGAGTACACCAAAAGACAAACAGCTTGCTCATTTTCTCTTCATGAGTAAGCTTAAAACTTAGAGCTGATTTTTCTCGCGAAGGACAAAATTGCGACCTAAGAAAAGATAACTGAAGATTTAACTGATAAGTGAAATGCAATAATTTAGAGGATGCGTCGGTAAATTTATTCAATCTGTAGATTTAGGGCCTCAAATTATCGTAGTCTGGGTTGAAATCTCGAACGCGCTTCCGAGTTGTGTTATCAGCTTTCCTCTCCTAAAAGGTCGACTTTTCAAACTCATCTAGGATACAGATATATGATTATAACCTCCATGAGCGACGACCTCTAGTAAGCAACCACCTCCGATAAGCAATTACCTCTCTAAAACAGTCAAAGCCTTATAGTTGGAACTTTTAATGACTTCCTGGAACTACACATATCGTAAAATTGCATGCAATAAATTGTCTTCCATAAAGTAGACGTGGCCCGACCTCTTCTCGGAGGAGAGCCCTGTGGCTCTCGATTCTAGTAAGCGATCCCCTCCCAGAAGGGCCCAAGTCTTCTCATTTTGGGTCGTTGCTTTCGGGAGGTTCGACTTCGTTTAATTTATTTAAGGTGGTTCTAATTCTTAATACTGTGGTTACAAAAATCAAAGAAGTTGTGGTTTTTGTACAATTATGATTAGACTACTGAGATGAAGCCTTTGCCGCAAGCTAACACATTCGTTATGCATTTCTGCACTTACTACAACGATACAATGATTTCCTGATCATGAGAATGTTGTTGATACCGAAATATAACATTACATTTTTCCCCCGTAGTTTTGTCTCTGCTGTCTAGATATTTTGACTTTGTACTGAAACTATCAAATGTAAATTCTGGTTATTTTATTTTATTTTTTACAGACGTATTTTAATCAACTGCAGTATCAGACGAATAAACTGGAAGGTAACACGGCAGACCTTTCTGTGAACCTCAGAAACAAGTTCCAAACAAGATTTACAGTCACAAAACGACTTAAAGATAAAGTTGAAGCTTTGTACGCCAAGCCTTCGAAACCCACGACAGCAAAAGAATGCTGTCATATCGACAAATCCACCCTGAAATACGATGAACGTTTCCGCACCAAAGTCGACCTTAACAACATTTGTTTGAAGATTGCTAGTGCTGCAACCTCAAACCCGAGACATTTAGATGCAGAAGAAATCTTAAAAGAAATGAAAGACATTCATATAAAGAACCCCGTTATTAAGTGGCAGTACTTTGCATCTGTGGAGGGTGTCTATACAGGTTTTCCAGTGTTTGACGATCCAGCCCCATGTGACTTCTTAGAACATCGATACAGACCATGGTATGTAGAAAGCGCCACCCCTGAAGCTAAAGATGTTGTGTTGGTTATCGACTCAAGTGCGTCTATGACTGGAAAAAAGTTTACTACTGCTAAAGAAGCAGCAAAGACGGTGTTAGACTCGTTGAATCCGAAAGATCAGGTGGGTCCTTAAAAACGTGTTTGACAATGACTGAGCGATTTCACGCCGCTAAATGGACAGGAACCACAACATGGTCGATGATAGTGCAGATCATGGAAATGCCTGATGGTGTTTCCATCCCTCTTTCTTGCGCGCGCCGTTTTCTGAGAAAGTTAACTGAAAATGGGCCTAAAAACCTATAAATGGTACTGTAAAAAACAAATCTACAACAATTTCCCATGTTACAGTAGCGGTTTGAAACAAAAGGCCATAACCGGGAGCGAGCAACTTCCCTGTGCCCATGCAACAGCGTTTTCACAGACCACCCTAAAGTTTTTTAGATTGTGTTTCCAGCGAATTTTGAATATCAAATAAGTCTTACACATCAGTAATCTAAAACCGGAGACTAGAAAAAAGTATTTCTGATGACTTGATAGCATCTACTTCCGTTTGTTATTATTGTTTGAAAATATCATTCTTTTATTGTAAAGTTTCGTCCGGTGCTTCCTTGATACGTTAATATATTGATCACCAAAATGGTATGTTTTGGTTACTTTTCTTCAAGGTTAATGTAGTTTCCTTCAACACAGAAGCTTCAACGGATGGTGGTACTGACATCACATCTTGTTTTAGTGAGCGGTTAGCTCTAGCAGTTCCTGAGAATAAAGAAAGCCTGAAGAAATACATTGATGGACCAAAGTTTATTGCTGAACGTAAGTTATGAGTTTTTTTCACTGCTATCGCGTTTTACCACGGCAAGCTCCCTAGCCTGCGTAGCAGTCGTTTCCGTCCGGTTTCTCTTAGGCCAAGCGCGGCAAGCAGGAAAGACGCGCGAGGCCAAAAAGGAGCAAAAAAGAAGACGAAGGACAGGAGGGGGTTGTGGGGGGCGGACGAAAGGAAACTGTTTCCTTTCCTTCCCCGCCCCTCCCTATCCGGGTCTTTTTTCCTCTCGCGTCTTTTTGTGCTGGCCCCTCTAGGCCTAAAGGAAACGGAAACGACTTCTACGCAGCCTACAAGCTCCCTTAAGCGGCCATTTAACCCCTACAGTGGACACTTATGAGAACAATTCTCTTAAGCGGCCAGCTCCAGTAACGTACGCCTTTTTCGCGTTCTGAGGTTGTCCGAGGTTGTCCGCTTACGAGATTTTTCTCCGTAGTAGCCTACAACGTTTGGATAGCCATATGACCGAGTAGCGTCATCAAGGTCCAACTGTTGCTGTCCTACTAGGAATCCTGATCATCAGCAACCTGCACCGGACAGCGACATGGCTGGACACAAACGTAATCTGCTGTCCATATAAATGACTGCAGAGTATATCATTTCCCCTCTCAAGCTAGATTCTGGTTGTTGATTCAGCGGTCCTGTCTGTGGTTGAAATGGAGACTGTCCATACCCTCTCTAGGTTTCCCATAACTCGGAAGAAAAACGACAAATAGGGAGCGATATAAGCGCCAGCGAAAAGCCTGATGGGGGTTGAGATCGAGACCCACTTCACCCCATAATCTGCTTACTCCCCTCCAGTTGGCATTTTTAACAAACAGAATTACGAGAAATATTTGTACCAGTATTTTTTTATTTTTTATTCAAGACATTTATTACTCTAATTATAGAGAACTAATTAAAAAAAAGAAACTAATTACAATATTCTAAACAACCACAATAACAGACATACTTACAATTATCTACATTTCACAGTTTTATGCATTATAGCAAAAAACAGCCGCGCAATTGCTGAATGGGGCTTATTTTACAAGGAGTTAATTAATACTTAATTATGTGGATAAAAGAGAAATTAACACTTACTTACAGTACACTCTGAAATAAAACAAAAACAACAACAACAACAAAAAAAAAACACAAAAAAAAACAATACAGAAAAAGAAGTATCTAATAAAGGATTACATGTTAATAACTATAAACGCCTGTTTTCAAGGCACCGCCCCCACTTGCATTAAGGAACTCGTTAAAATGAGAGACAACAAGTACGATTTAAGGGGCAATAATACGCTATCACTGCCAAAAGTAAATACTACAAAGTATGGATTAAACTCCTTCAGATATTTCGCCGCAAAACAATGGAACAGTACTCCAAACGAATTACGATTAAGAGCTGGAGGACTAGAATTTAACAAACAAGTGAGGAACATTCACTTTTAGTTATCTAATTTTGTAATTTTAGATGCTAGATATTTTATATTTTTACACTTCTATGTACATATTTTCTTTCTTTCGTTCTTAATATTGATTTGTGGAAAACCTGCAAAATAGCTTTAGCTAAGTGTTTCTCCCACGTTAAATAAAGATTATGTTATGTTATGTTATGTTATTTTAATTTCATGCACACGAACTTTCTTTTGGCCATTTTTCATAAAAGGTTTCTAATTTATTATTCTTAGCGGAAATATATTTTTCAACTTGGTATTTAATTATTTTGTTTTTTTTAAATTTAATTAAAACACTTTCAATTACAAAGTACTTACTTACACTACTTACTTACAAACAATGTATGGTACTTACGCTAGTAACAAAACCATACTCTACTTACAAAACAATACTTACTTACAATGTGAGATACTTACGCTACTAACAATACTATACTCTACTTACAATACAGAACTTGCAATACTTCCTTAGAATTAGATACTTACACTACCAACAATGAGATACTTACACTACTAACAGTGCCATACTCCACAGCTACTTGCATTACTTACAATACGGATTACATACGCTACAAAAACCAGAAAAAAAAGGGGAGGCGGGGATGTATGGTAAATTTTAGTTAACTGTAGTTCTAACTCAAAGGAGAAAAAAGAGGTTAAAGATATTTTCTCTGCTGATTCACTGAAATTTAGCTTTATATACTTTGAAAGTTGAAGCGAGGAAAATACGGGAAGGGAATGTCTGGTAGGAAGGAAAGAGTAAAAAGAGCGAGAGACTCCAAACTGGTAAAAGGTTACTAAAGAGAGAAAGGTTCAATTTCTTTATTATATTGTTTTAAAAACGGCTTAAAATTTTCAATAGTTGGAATATTTTCTTTGCTTCTGCAAAGCCAAATGTAGAATCTTGCAAGTAACAGAACGAAGTTAATTGCGGCTTTGTTTTTGGAAGTATCAGGCATCAGACCCAAGACGACAAGACTGTTGAGGAGATAGTCTTTGGATAAAAGTTTACGATCCTTTAGAAAAGCAATAAGGTGTTTCCAGAAAAGTTCTATTTTGCTGCAGAACCAAAAAAGATACGTGAAGTTTTCAGCTTCCTCATGGCAAAATGAACGCGTAATGTCATCTTTGTATCCCATTTTGACTAAAGATACGTTTGTTGCCAAAGTTTGATGAAGGAATCTAAATTGAAATTCAATCAGTTTGCTTTTGGTACATTTAAAAGCGGTCATATATGCGTTATGCCAGATTAGAACACGAGCTTCTGGGAAAACTTTGCTCTATTTCTCCTGACTAGAAATTTTATAGTTACATTCTAATTCCACCAGTTTTTGATAAGCTAGTCTGCTGGGCTTTTGCGATTTTAAAAAGGCGGTTGTGAAAGACTCTTGTTCTTTACAGTTTAGTGGTACAGTTGGTAGTTTTTGATTTTTCCAGAGCTCTCGGAGGGTAGATGTCATTCCATAGAATGTCGAAGGGCAAACCTTTGTATGATACTTTCTTTCAAATTCTGTTGGCGGCTAGAAAGTACTTGGTTGTTCCTTAACGATTTGATTCACCTGAGAAATGTCGATCATTCTAAGTCCTCCGTTGCCTTAATTTTGTGTGATAACGTTTCTCTTGATTTTATCGCCTTTACTGTTCCAAAGGAAGTCAAAAAAGAGGTCGTTTAATTGTTTTATAATTTGAGAATTGATTTGAAGAGGCGACAAAAGATGAATTACTTGGGAGGCAGCCAAACTCTTAAGAACTGTTATTTTCCCGATAAGGCTTAGTCTTCGAACTGACCAGCACCCCAAGCAGTTCCGCATTTTTTCTATTTTTTTCGACGAAGTTAAGTTTGATTGTAGTTTCAGGGTCAGTTGATAGCCAAACTCCGAGCGCTTTAACCTTTTTATTTTGCCAGTTGAAATCTTTTTCTGGGTGTAGTTTTTCACTTTTGCCAGCACAAGAGCCTATCCAAAGAGCCTCAGTCTTTTTACTGTTTAGTCTGAGACCTGAAACTTTCTCGAAGCTTTCTAAGATCCTTAGGGCTTCAGAGAGGGACTTTTCTGAACCGTCAAGAATTAAAGTTGTGTCGTCAGCATATTGACTTAATTTAATCTCAGTATCCTTAACTAATAAACCTTTTATGTCTGCATTTTTTCGGATTGCTTTGGCCAGAATTTCGGCTGAAAGAATAAAAATGTAAGGAGAGAGAGGACAGCCTTGGCGGACACCCCTGTGGACCGAAAAGAAGTTGCTTGCCCAACCGTTGTTCATAATACAGCTTTCAGTGTTGTTATAAAAGGTTTTAAACCATTGGACAAAGGAAGGGCCAAATCCGAAAGAAATAAGTGCTTTTTGTTTAAAAGACCATTCCAGTGTGTCAAACGCTTTCTCAAAGTCAAGGAAAAGTAGAAGTCCAGGAATATTTTTAGTAGCGGTGTAATTAACAATGCTGTCAATTAAACGTATGTTCTCTCCTATAAACCGTCCTTTTAAAAAACCAGTCTGGTCATTGTTTATCAGTTTGTGGAGATGGGTCTTCAGGGGGTTCGCAATCACTTTTGTAGCTATCTTGTAATCGCAGTTTAAGAGTGTAAGCGGCCTCCAGTTTTTGATATAGTAAAGTTCTTCGCTCTTTTTGGGAATAAGTTTTATTATACCTTGTTTCTGAGATATAGACAGCTGGCCGATCTCGAAATCCTAATTTAAAGCTTTTAGCAGAGGTTTCGAAACATCACTCCAAAAAGATTGGTAAAATTCAGAAGGCAAGCCATCTGTTCCCGGGCTTTTGTCTGGTTCCATATCTTTCAAAGCATTGAGACATTCCAATTCAGTTAACAAACCTTCAATGGAATCGCGTTCTTCGTTGCTTAAAACGGTGTCGTTC